GTGTGAAGTGGGAGCAGTGTGGGTGATGGAGGGAGAGGAGGCAGAATCAAACCTGTTGAAAAACATATTGAGTTCATCTGCCCAGTCCTTGTCCCCACTGGCTTGCTTTCTTCCCACTCCTTTTCCATGGCCTGAGATGTTCTGCAGCCCTCTCCACCCATCCCTGGCGTTCTGTTCCTGCCGCTTCTCCAGTTTCCTCCTGTAGCTGTCCTTTCCCTTCCTGATCTTTTGCCGGAGTTCCTTCTGGACTTTGTGCAGCTCCTCTTTGTCTCTCCCCGATCTAAAGACCCTCTTCTTCTCATTCAGCAGGGCCTTAATCTCGGAGGTCACCCAGGGTTTGTTGTTGGGAAAACACCGTACTAACTTGGAGGGCACAGTGTTCTCCACACAGAATTGAATATAGTCCATAATGCAGTGGGTCATACTGTCAATGTCATTGCCGTGGGGGCTGCAGAGTGCTTCCCAGTCTGTTGTCTCCAAGCAGTCTCTGAGCCTAGCACTGGTCTCCTCAGACCACTCCTTCACAGGCCTCTTCTCAGGTGGTTGTTTTTTCACCACAGGGGTGTAGTCTGTGACCAGATGGACAAGGTTGTGATCTGAGTGACCAAGCGGGGGGAGGGGGGATGAGGTGTATGCATCCATGATGTTTGCATACAACAAGTCCAAAGTTTAATTGCCCCTTGTGTGGCATTTCACATACTGGGTGAAGGTGGGGAGAGCAGAGGACAGGGAAGCATGGTTGAAGACACCGGAGATGAGGAGGAGGGATTGGGGGTGCTGGTTTTGAAGCTGGGAGACGACAGTGTGGATCTGATCTGTAGCTGCAGCAGCGACGGCCGAGGGAGGGATGTACACAGTTACAGCAATAACGTGTGAAAACTCCCTCGGAAGGTAGTACGGCCTCATGCTAACCGCTAACAGCTCCAGGTCTCTGGTGCAGAGTTGCTCCTTAACACTGGTGTGTGCTGGGTGGCACCATCTTTCATTCCCCCTCCCTTCTTTTTACCGCTCTCCGTTGCTTTCCTGTCCGCCCGTACAACTTGAAATCCGTCCTGGGTGACGTGTGAGTCAGGAGAAAGTTCACTCAGCCACGTCTCTGTGTAGCACATGAGGCTGCATTCCCGGTTCTCCCTCTGCAGCCGGGTTAGCGCCGTAAGCTCTTCCATCTTGTTGGGGAGAGATCTTACGTTCCCCATGATGACAGACGGTAAACATGGTTTATACTGTCTTTTCCGCTGTCTGCACTTTACTTCCGCTCTGCATCCTCTTCTCCTTTGCCGTATCTCCTTGGGGATCTCCAGCTGCTCCGCGCAGCGAAGGGTTGTGTGGCACAGGGCTAATAGCTGATCCCGGGTGTAAACAATGGAGCCGTGGTTGAGTTGGTCTCCTGATGCTGCACCAACAAGTTCAAAGAACAAGAGGCAAACTACGAATGTAACAATATGAACATCCATAGCTGCACACTTGCCTAAAGTGTCGATGTGACACGAAGGAGCAACAAAAAGTACACTAAAACACTAAAGTTAAGTACAAAAGTTAAGAGCTGCTGTAACTAGCTACCACTCACGAGGCGCCAACATTCTAAGGGGTGCAGCGAGATAACGCAGAGAGATAATGCTTTCTGTGTGTGTGACTTCTTTCAGCTGGCGACTTTCAGCCAAAAAAAGGTCACCATTTAGTTTACATATTTGGCTGAAAGTCGCTTGTTAAGAGGGATAGTCAATAATCCGAAACACTGGCTAGTCATGGGTCCAATTTGCTGTGGCAAACTGACTGCTGGTGTTTCCAGTCAGGAGTTTTTCCAGAACAATTAAGGCTATGTGACTTTCTCCTGAGTGGTATTATAATCCTGGACTGAGCGATGCTGAGTAGCACTGCGTCGAGTCTCTTGCTCCGGGATGCTTTTCCATCTTAAGAAAACCCCAAATACTGGCTTGCTATCCCTTGAATGGATTCCCTTGAATCCATTATTGTATTCCATTCCATTATTCCATTATTGGGGTTACCGATACAGACCTACCTCTGCAGACATTTTTAACCTCTTTTAGCTTGTTGTTTTGGCCTGGAAACACCAGGTCTCATTATCCTTCTTTCCAGCATTGTCTGTCAGCTGTTCTGATAAATCTCTGATTAACCCACTGTACACTACCTTCTCAGCACCAAGCAGCAGACAGACACAGTTAGAGACTAGCTGGTGAACGCAGTGGAGCGTTTAGCAGCAAGAGACAGATATTCTTGACAGGAGTTGGTGGAGACTAAAACACAGCTGCGCAGCTGAGTGCATATTGTACTTGAAATTTTGCTGCAGGCCTGTGTAGTGTCCACGGATCCCCAAATTTTGTCGAAGTTACAGCTAATATTTTGAAACTCGAGTTGGTTGTTTTTCCTGACGAAATGACAATTGCGATTTTTTTAAAAGACAACATTTGCATATTAGGTTTCTGGGGGTTAATATGAAACTTCATACTTTGATATAACTTATTTTTGTTCCAACGTTTAACAGAAGCATGAGTTATTTCTTCTGTTCATTCGCTTACTACTTTGTAAAGGAAGGAATCAGCTGGGGGTGTGTTGGCATCTTTAGGGGTTCAAAGGTCCAGTGTTTCATTGTCCATGCAAATCCACGATGAATACTGGTACTTAAGGCTGCTCAATTAATCGAAATATGATCATGATTACGATTTTGGGGCCAAACGATCTCAAAACTAATAAAATCGGAGGGAAACGATTTTATTTCATTTTCTGTTGTGCAACGTTGTATAGAAAAAAGCTGAGCCCCTGAATTGGGACACAGCCACAGTCTGCGTATTTCGCGCATGCGTATTTCCATCCCTCCCCCGCAGCAAGCACTGCACATCATGCACTCTGTATACTCGCCGTTCCCGACCTGTCGCGCGACAATGTGAAGTCACAGGAGCGCCGTAACTATTTATACTGCGCCGGTGGTCGCGACACTAGTTGCAGTCTTCTCCTGTCACGTTGTTTTTGTTTAAACAGGTAACGCGGAGACTTACAAATGTTTATGGGGAAAGGAAAGTGTAACTGAGGACTTCCTTGCAAAGTGTTTTTGACAAATGTCCAATAAATGCAGCATGTTTCTGAAGTTTAAAAAAAATAATCGTTTGAATAATCGTGATTTCAATTTTGATCCAAATAATCGTGATTATGATTTTTTCCATAATCAAGCAGCCCTACTGGTACTCCTTTTCTTTTGTTTTATGTTCAAACTACATGGATCTCAATGCAAAGCCACAGAGGACTTCACAGATCACCACACTGTCTAATTTTGTGACCTATTAATTTTGATTTTATCCAGCTCATTACTCCCTCCCCTTGGGGCAATTGTAAATTTAGCCCTTAATCACAATTACCTTATGTTGTCATAACATTTTATGATGCCACAAATGTGACTGAAACATGGATTCTTCATCTCTTGTACAGCAAAGCAGTTAAGCTCACAGTTGCATAAAGTAAAAGGATGTAAAAGAAAAAAAGCCTGCAGACTGTTTGTAGGTGAACATGGACGGTGCAGATGTTCATCTGCAGTATGGACGTTGAGCAGAGTGAATGTGTAGTGCAGGCCCAGTCCGCTGGCAGGGATTGGCTGGGTCTTATCTTGATAGGATGGTTTGACAGGTACTGCATCACATTAAAGGCCTTACCAATCTTTCCTGTCACATCCAGCAGGAGGCTCACAGATAGGGCAAACCCCCCTCTCCTCTAGCAACCCCTCTAGTTTTCTCTCCTCTCACCCACGTTGATGCACAACATATTGAATTTTTTCCAGGTTTCAAAGACAAAATAAAGACATAAAAGTACATGAGCAAGATCATTTACTTTGTCTCAAAGACAAAGTAAAGAATTTGAATTTGAATCTCCTCTGCGCCATAAATCCACAGAAATGTTGACTTCTCTCAGCTTTTATTGACACATTTTCCCGAGTAACATCAGCACAGTTTTTCTTAAACCTTCTGTTATGTATACAAAATAGGGTTGGACAATCATCTTTATTTTTATCGACCTATTGTCGTTAGATTGCTGATAGATTTGTTCCGATACCAGTATCAGAAAACAGCTGGATCAGAGTCTACGCAGTGATCAGATATCACCTATATTAGCCCACTTGCTTCAATCACTGAACTCAACATGCCTATATATGGGACAGGCCTTTAATTCCTTTTGCTTAAAATTATTGCTCATCAAAGGTGCAAAATACTATCATATTGGTTATTTAAACCAATATGAATATTACTTATAAATAAAAATTAGGCTATCATATAACATTTCAATTAGGAATCATTCATTTCTTAAAATGAACTAAGGAATTGAATTGTGCAGAATCTGACAGATCTAACGATGTGCAGTGTGTCCATATTGACAAAAAGTTTAAACATTTATATTTGTGTAGGCGATCTAAGCAGCTTAGAACTTTAAGAGGTTTTATACATCCAAAGTATTTCTATGAAATTAAAACCAGGCCTCTAAGTGCTGTAAAAGCGCTTTGAGTGATCGGAAGACTAGAAGGCGCTATACAAGTACAGGTCCATTTACCATTTAATTGAGAGCTGCCTTTAATCATCAAAACGTGTAGCCACACCAGGCTAGTAAAAGAGACCTGCCTCTAACTGGGACCCTGCTTGTAATTGAAGTTTTACAGTATTTTTAATATTACTAGAATTAAGAATTCTAATACAATTAAAGAACGGGGGAAAAAGTCTTATAATTACCATGGGGATCATAAATGTGTACACCTTTGTACACGTGTATTTCAGGATAATTACAATTGCCATGATTTTGTGTCTTAATGGTCTATAATGTCTGCAGGTATTTCACTGTTTTACTTAGATCCTCTCAGATAATCTATGTTTAGTACTTATCGCGGCACACATTGCCTTTTCATATTTTCACATGAAAAAATGATCATCAAGCTCATTTCAGGCAGATTCCCCAGTACTGCAGCTTGGTGCAGCTGTGACATTGTGTCATTGTCTGATTGTTAGGTGGAGTCCACCCAGAGTATGATCAGGATCCTGGGACTGTCAGCCACCCTGCCCAACTATCTGGATGTGGCTGCCTTCCTACACGTCAACCCCTACATTGGCCTCTTTTTCTTCGACAGTCGCTTCAGACCGGTGCCCCTTGGACAGACCTTTGTTGGAATAAAAACCACCAACAAGGTAAGCAAACGAAAATTATGTGAACGTATTTAAATGCACAGGTTAGTTGTTCATGGTGATACATGTGTACAATATATGTGCAATATATTGCTCACCTTTATAATATATTTGCAAGAATCCATCGGGCCTGGATGGAAACAACCAATCAGACCCAAGAAAGTTTCTTGAGTCTCATTCCTAGGTCACCAAATACTGACTTTTTGGGTTAGTGGCTTGAAGATAATTGATTGTTCAGTCTCATTCCCAAAGTGTCTGTAGTTGCCTGAGATTCATTAGTTATATTAGGGAGTTAAAAAATTGCAGTAAACGGTTAACTTCAGTTGTTTATTGTGACTTTGTTTCCTGTTCAGATCCAGCAGCTTCATGACATGGAGGAGGTTTGTTACAACAAAGTTCTGGAGCAGGTTAGAGCCGGTCATCAGGTAAGCACTGTTCTGCATTTTGTGTGTTTAGTGGCCAGTGTAGTTTCTCCCACGCGGTTGGAAAGGAAGGGTGAAATGAGTGAGTTGCAATGGGCAACTGCACCGCTACACCCCACACAGCGGATGTTCCACTCCTGAACAGGTTTTTTTATGTAACCTGTAACCCCACAACATAATGTTGTTGACTAATCCCACTTGCATTTGCTAGGTTACTACTGCGCTAGTTAGCTTACTGTGAAACATTCAGGCTGCCATAATTGACAACAATAAATTATCCGTATGATGTACACCTTGCCTAAAATGGTGGACATTGCAGCTCTGTTGTATGTTCCTGTGCCCTCTCTGTTACCCTGATACTGGGCTCAAATGTTCTCTCTGAGCTCATGAGGGCCTCTGGCACGCAAACTCAATCTATTGGTCCTATAAATAAGAGCACATTACCTTGACTACAATCATACCCACTGGAACAATTCCCCTCTGCCTCAAAATGAGTCTGCCCAACTCGATGTTCTCATTGAAACCAGCATTTCCCAGGTACTCTACTGTAGGCACTGTGACCTTGAACATCAAAACCAATAATTCTCATTTTACAAGACACTGTTCAGTCTGATTATTTCCCCCCATCGTCACCTACATGCTTCTTTATGATTTTGGAGCAACTTAAAGAGGCACACAGTAACGTTGGTGTAGAATCTTAATACAACTCCTCTTTCCCTTGAAAAAAAAAAAATCTCTCAACTTTTTTGTGAATAGGAGCAGTAAATATTTTTGTGAACCTTTTGGAATGAACACCTGCTATCGGAAGTCTCTGAAGTCCTTATCTCCCCCTCGGTGTTCCCCTCCCCTTCCTTCCCCTTCCCTCCCCCATCCACCAACCACCACCCTCGGCTCATTCTGCTTCCACTCTGCAGCCTCAGAAGGCCTGTTGGGAACATGAGAGTTGTGAATTCAGACTTTACCGTTTAGCTCCCATCTGCTACAAGAGTTGAGCTCCCTATTGAGCACGGTTGTTATCCTGTCTGCATCATTTTATTGCAAGTGTACACACACACACACACACACACACACACCTTTTTCTTGTTTTTTTCCCTTTCTCTCTTGCTCATTATCTCCCTCAGAGACACACTTAATATGAGTCTTGCTGTGGCCCTTGAGAACTTGTAAACCAACTTAATTGTATGGCACCACTGACAACTTTTTTTTTATTTCTTTGGTTCAAACGATACAATGTTCAAGTCCGGCTCGCAGGTTGAGGCCACTGAGGCCACAGCTCAGCCACGGACTGCTCCTCATTCTCCTCCTCGCTCAATATTAAATTGTCAAGAAGTGGCTGTGACATATATTAATTTCATCTGGGAGGATCTGATGGATGAAATTTCCTTTATGATTTTCCCACCGCCCTCCTGGCGAGAAGCATGCTGCCAGAAAGAAGTTTAATAAGCTGAGGAGCCGGCGGTTACTGCCGACAATGCTTCCACACAGCTCAGTGGTGCTGATAAAACACCTTCAACAAATAACATTTGCTGCAGCAGTCTCCTCGGACCCACTGTGTTTGGAGCTCGCACACAGCTGGTTACTGCATGTGTGTGCAGTCAGGCAATATTGTTTGGTCTAATAATATATTTCCCTACTAGAACAATGTCAACAGGGTCCTTCATGGCTATTTAAAGGTAAATTAAGGAATCGTTATACCAAAGTAGGGGCTTTTTATCATCATATTTTGTCAGTGTACACAATGTGTTGATATCACCCTATAAAGAATCCATAAAGCTTACAGTCTGTTCAGTGTATTAAAGGACACTGTAGGTTCACATGATTTCTCGAACTCAATCAACTTTGGATAAAATCTCAATATATTTTTGTGTGTGGGTTTGTGTGTTGAACTGCCATTTCTACAGTAGCCCAGAAAGGACAAAGAAAACACTGGCTGTAGATAGAGGCGTTCTGTATGTGTTTTGCAGCCACTGTAGTTTCTTATACATGCTTGGAAGGGCAGGGTGAAGCAAGGGAGTTGCAATCTGCAATTAAATTGCTAGAAATTAGAATAGAAGTTTGATAAACCACATTTTATATTCAGTATTCATATTTTCAATGCAAACATGAACTTTCACAGCTGCAGTTGCCTCCGTGCCACAGAGAAAAAAGCCAGGGTTTCTGTGAGTGGAAATTATCATAAAGACTAATGCCATCTTAGTGTTAATGCATGATGACAAAAAATTGGTTTGTAAAGAATTTAGTGATGGGTTCTAATTTGAAATGAAGCCTTTAAGTGTTATTCTTAAAACATCTGACACTGGTGTCATTTGCTGTAACCACTGAACCACTGCTTTAACGGACCAGTGTGTAGGATTTAGTGGCATCTAGCAGGGAAGTTAATAGCCCTCGCCTTCTAAGCGTGTATAGTAACTATAGTGGCTGCGAAAGATCTAGAGCCAGTGTTTGGTTGTTTCTTTTTGGGCTACTGTAGAAACATGGAGGTTCAACATGGCTGACTTCATAGAGGAGGACGCGCTCCCTCTGTAGATAAAAGCAGCCCATTCTAGATAACAAGATAACAAAAATGCAAGGATTCTTAATCTTAGGTGATTATACACTAATGAAAACAAAAACATAAATATTATATTACATTTTTGCCAATAGATCCTCTGGACCTTTCAGGCAAACAACCAATTCAGTGATAAATATATATATGTGGTGAGCATACAGTGTACAAACAGATGCATCACAAATAAAGTAAAAACCTGAATAAATGAGTGCAGATGCTTCCGTACAGGGCACAGGGTTCACTAAATGCTTTCATGAGTATGAAAATGATGTGAATCATATGGTCTGGCCTCCACCCTCAACCCAGCTGTGCTCAACCAAAATACTGATTGAACTGAAATTCTACAGATGAGACAATCGCTGCACCAACTGAACTGTTGTGGAGTTATGTGTTGTGCTGATGTTTTTAACCTCTTTACCTCTTATTGCTGTTTGTCTCAGGTGATGGTGTTTGTCCATGCTCGTAATGCCACAGTGAGGACGGCCATGGGGCTGATCGAGATGGCAAAGAACCATGGAGAAATAAGCTTCTTTCAACCAGACCAAGGCCCTGACTACGGCCAGTGTGAGAAACAGGTAGAAAAAGCTCTCAACGATCTGTGTTTAAATTCCTTTTAAAAGTCGAAAAGTCATCAATATCTTATTTCAGATTCAGTGTTTAGCTAGATAGGTCTTCTATACTCATCTAGAAGATTAGATTGGAATATTGATGAAATTCTTTATTCTGTCAGTGATATTTAGACAAGACAGTGTTTCATGGTACGTTTGAAACTTAGGTCTGTATATATGATTAAAAACACTATTTTTGGGTTTTTCCAAACCTGAAAATTCAAGTGCTAGGGCAAAACTTATCAGAGGCTATGGTGCAGGATGCTGGTTGCCAAACTGTGATTAGAGAAAAAAAAAGACCCTGTGCTTCTCATAAAGTTTTAACTGTTTCTTATGTTTTTTGAGACAAGAATATGCAAAAACAAGATGGCACAAGCAAAACTTAAGGTAAAAACTGCAACAAAAACATAGCCATCATGCTGGAACACAAAAGGCTATCACCCCGTCAAGAAAATCTGTGCAATTGACCCAACGGATCCATAACTTTAGTGAGCTTTGACACACAAATCTGTGCTGCTACATTAGCAAACTGTCTCGACAGTGCCAACCTAATGCTGTCATTGCCTATTAGCTTTGTTCCACCATTTTTACATCGCTGTGATCTGTTACAGTATAGTGTAAAGAGACATCAAACTGCATTTCTTGATTTAATTTCATTTTCATTTCTTGGAGACCTAGCTAGCTTGCATTCTAAGTAGCACTTTGAAACGACTATGGCCAGCTAGTATTTATGTGTCCCCAACAGGCTAGTGGTTTAGTGGTTAGTTTGCCAGCTACAGTCGGATGCCAGCTACCACAAAAAGTAGTCACTGAGACAGTGGTGTTCAACCTTTTTCCTTAAGGGACCCCTTTTCCATCACTGAGTGAATAGGTGACATATTTTATGGTTATTTCATATTATATTCAACATGCATAACAATTACAGTAGAGAACAACTGTAAAACTGTACAATGAACGCCAACAGTAAAAACAATGACTGCAGGAAATTTGTGTCAAATAAGCGGTTTGGATGAATTTTGTGCAGATTATTTCCTGTGAATATTACATTAGTGTAATGTAATACTTTTATTACTATTCTTTGTCTGTGTTGTGTATTTTTTGTAATTCTTTAACAATCATACAGACTTAATAGGCTTCTCATTGTTCCGTTAGCTCTTTGGTTGTTTTCACCTTTCTAATGCATTACGAGGCTGTTTATCAGAGAGTGAAGGCTCTGCGACTATAGCTTGTGTTTAGGTCTTCACCATGACCTGTTTATATCATAAATAGTTATCTTAAAAATAACTATTTCATTTAGTTGTCTTAACAGAAATTCCCTAAATACAGGCCTACTGTATCTATATATTTTTAAAGAATGTCTAAAAAACAACCCCTAAAATGAAGAAGACCTCGCAACCCATTGTGGTTGCCTTGGCGACCCCTAGTGGGGGTCTGGACCCCCAGTTTTGGTACCACCTATTTTTTGAGGTTGTGTGGGTAAAGTTTGCTGTGCCGCTTTTTGGCAGTTTGTAATTTCCCCATTACATCCTGTATACAGTATAGAATTGTGACACACCAGCACAACCAGAGGTAAGTCACAGATGCAGACAACCACAAAATGAAAAACTATTTTTTGGTAAAGCTAAAGAGAACAGATCTGACAACAGAAAAAGGAGCATTGGATTTCCCGATTCACAGCTCACCATTACTGTAACTCCATACAACCCAGGTTTGCTGCTATATTGTATGTGTGGGCAGGCATGAGAGCAGAACAGTGATTGTGCGTGCACATGTGCGCACGCTTAATTAATGGTGTCTGTGCTGCGATAGTACACAGAGGTGGAGCTATATTCTCCCTCAGAGGATGGTCAGTCAGACTCCAACTCCCATATTTAAATCTCCTGCAACAGAAGGCAGAGTGATAAATTTAGTAACCTTTTCCTTCGTTCCCTGGGGCCGAGCCAAGATTGATGCGCCTCTAATCTTCTCGCTATTTAAATAGGATATGTATACAAATCAGATCACTTTTCATGCTTTCTAAAACTGGAAATAGAGACGAGATTATGTGGGATACTAAAAATGGTGCGTTGTGGCCAGGTTAGTCTTTGAAACAGTACTTTAAAAGCAATTGTGCTACTGTTCCTACAGTATATGTACATGAATTAATCTTGTTGTGTATGCACTAACTGCATTAATTCACTCCTAGCTCGTCTGCCTGCCTGTGTCCCAAAATAATGAGCATTATTCACTCCATTAGTCCGTCTTTGAGTGTTTGTCCGTCCGGCCTGCTCTGGCGAAGGAAAAGGCATCGGGCTGATTCCACTCTAAGCCCACACAGAGATAATGCACTGCCTATTTGCACTCTGGAAATTGCCCCACATTAATATTTATAGGTGTTTTTTAATCTCTAATATGCATATGCAGTGAAATAAAGCACCTCTGAGGTCAGTCATATAATTTAGCGTTTATTTATCCAGCTTTAAAAGTCAGAAGTGATTCCACTATATTTTTCTCTCTCCTAATGTAATTTAATTGGCTTAATCTCATGGGGTTGGAGAGGCTGTCAATCAAGCTTAGATATCTTAATGCACCCACTCGAATCAATTCTTGTTAAATACAGTTTTTGGTGTGCCAACGATTATAAAGTGCAGCTGAGTAAAATAATGAAAACAGAAAACACTCTCCAAAAGGGCTTTTTACACAACAGTCTTGCAGCCCTGCCTTTTGATCAGATGTGTGCACATTTAAAGGAGAGCTATTGTGCTTCTCGTTAGCTGCTGTAATGTAACAATGTGGGATGTTGATATTAAACGAGGCCAAAGTATGAAATAATAAAGGTATACATATGTAAAAGTAATTACTGTGAACAATAAGCTCAAAATCAGATTGCTCTGAATGCAATGTTTCCTACCTCTTTTTCAACGTATATATGACAAGCTGATGTCCGCTCGCCACAGATTTCTTTATATGATTATCTGCTCCAGGCAGAGCACGGCTGAGCATGGCCACAAAGTACAGGCACGCGCTCAGTCTATCCGACTCGCCATAAGGAACCAGCTCTTAAAGTTTTAATGCTTTTTGGGTTACAAGGCAATATTACACATTTCATGGCTTTTCCTCTGACGTTGATCAGCTTGTCTGCCTCACATCTCAGGGAACTCAAGTTTACTGATGGACATTTGCTTGATGCTATTAGCTAACTCCTAACAGACAGGGAGCTTGAGGCCCTGACGGTCCAAAGCTCCAGTACTAGAGTTGTAACTTTAAACACAGACACCTCCTCCGGTGCTCTGAGCTCCCAGTCCGGACAGAGTCACATAATAAGATGTCTAAATTAGCTACACTGCTAACAGCAGCAGCTAAAGGAGGTAACAGCGAACAACAAGTAGCTGAGGTTATATATCCATACAACACTAAAGTTCCCTCTGGGCTCTCTGGGGTAATCTAGTCCAGATTTGACAAGTTTGGGTCAGGTGGTTTGGATCTGGACCTGGTCCAGTATGGTCTATATGTGGGAAAAATGTCATCTTTTAGTATTTCGACAAGTAGAATAAAGTTTTGACAGATTTGACATTGGGTTTCAGACAGTGTTAAGGCAGGTAAAGTAAGAGGAGCAAAAGGATGATCGGTCGCTCAGCAGTGTTAGTTAAGTTTCCCTTTAACTGCCAAAGCTGTCGAAAGCCAACTTCAGTGTTGTTATTTCCATCAGGAAATTCAGCAGAGCAGCCAGAGGACATCAGAGGATGGACCTGAAAATATTTTCTCCATAAAATATGATCCAGTTTCACTATAATCAGTGGATAAAGTTATAAAGTTGTGCTTTTGTACAGAAATCATTGATGCCCGTCCCCCAGAAACACTCGGGGTGCTTCCGGGATTTTTGGCAGGGGGAAATGTGCATAATAGGTCCTCCTTTGAATCTTGTATTATAAAAAAACTGTTAAAAAGGATGCTTTGACAGTGCCCTTAATTCTTGTATCGTAATACCTCTGTCACATACAATTAACATCAGAAGACGGAGGGAGTACAGCTCAGAGTATTGCTGTTAGGCTGTGCTATTGATTCATAACTTTGTGGGAGAGAATTGCAACACTGAACACTCACACAGGGAAGTTTACTTATCATGGACAATAACGTTGTTTTAATTATAACAGGGGCCCTGCTCATTGTAACACAACTGGGTGCAGTGCACATACAGCTGATTATTAGCAATTTTTTTTAGTAAGAAACATAAAGCCACCCAGATTCTGTCTTTATAAACATAATGAGGAAATTCTGTTTAAATTCCAATGCAATGAGAATAAAACGACATTTCCAGTAATTCCAGTGTGCTTACTGAAAATTAACCAGTAGCACATTACACTGCTTCCCTAGTGGGAGCCAATAGTGTTTATGGTGCATGTTGAATTGCGCATTAAAATGTTTTTTGCCTCATGCTCAAAAACTTGAATGCTTGAATTTAAACAAACAAAACAATTTCAACAAATTAACAAAGAAAGCAAAAATGTAACCCAAGCAGATATGGCTGCAACTACCTGTTATTTTCATTATTGATTGAGCTGCCAAATATTTTCTCGATTAATTGTTTGGTCATTAAAATGTCTAGAGAATGGTGAAATTCTTCAATATAGATAAAAAGTAGATTTTGCTGCACATGATTTAGTGAACAAATTCAGACTTTTTAAGGATATATCCAGCTTTACAGCAGGCATTGATCCTGCTAACAAATATTATCTTCATAGTTGAAGCCTGATCTAACTTATTCATCTGTGCCGCGAAGGAGCAGTGTGGCTCATTGCCTTTAATAGTTTTGGAGCTCTATGACACAGAGTAAGAATGTGTATCAGGCTTTGATGCACACACAATACTTAATGTGAATGATGAAAGGATGTAGTAGATGTGGTTGTTCTTGGCTTTTGATATTCGGCTCTTGTTAGCATTAAAGAGGTATTAGAACAGCTAAAGCTATAGATGTGAATCAGAATAAA